ATACCAGAATCCTCTTCACCTGGGAAGCACTCAAAAGTCCCAATACTTACCCATAACAAGTGAATCAGAATCTCTGGGCTTGGAACCAGGCATTAGTATTAGCTCTCCAGGTAATTCCACGATGCAGCTAAGTTTGATAATCAGTGCCTCTATGTCTCCTTCAACTAGAGAAAGGCATCGTTCCTATGGGATACTTTGGATTTTGAGGCACTGTTCCGACACATCAGAGTATCCAGCTACTTCCCACTTGCCTGACAAGTGTAAAAACAGTGAGCTTCTAGTAGGACCCTGGACAAGAGAGGGCTCTCCAGCTAGTCCAAGTTGTAGGCAAGTTGCTCTGCCACTGGACTCTTATGACAAATCATCTCTTACATAGTTAAAAGACTCTGAAGTCGACTGGGATGATGGATGAAGACTGTTGCTAGAAAAGCAGAGGCCAACTAAATTCCAGAGTAAGGAAATTCCCCTTGAGCAGGTAACCATAATTTCCTCTTTTTAAATAGGAGTTACTGTAATTTTGTCCCCTCTTCCTTCCTTGTCTCTCACTATTGACTCTCATGTATTTGGGTGTGAGCTAAATTTACCATTTATATGACAGATTGCAGAATGGTCAGATGGGCTAAGGAACCCAGGGAAAAAATAGTCATTGTCTGGAGATAGTAGACTCTGAGAAGCCTGGCCTCTGACATTATCTGTGGATTCTGTTATCTGCTATTAGGAAAGAGGGCTGTGCTAGAGTAGGTGCCTAATGGTTTTGAATCAGGGTAGTTGGGAATATTTTAGATATGTGGAAAGAAGTGATTGACAGCCAGACAGCTACAAGTCAGTATGGTAGACATTTTTAGAGGCATCCACCCAGCTCACAGCAATATGTGCTTCTCTGAGAACTGCTCCACACTATAATCCACCCTCCAGCAAACCTACCCCATGGCACAGCTGCTGGGACCATGACTGGATGCTGTGCCACTTGGGTCTTCTTTTCCAAGAATTTAGAGTTTTGAAGGAAGAAACCTTGAATCTGGAGATAGTTGGAGCTGGGTCCTATTTGCAGGGGAATTTCACAGTCTTCAGCTGTTGAAGCCCTTGAACTTCCCTGGCTCTTGCTTATGGTCTGCTTGTAGTGATGTGCTAGTAAATTTTTACACAACCACTTCCTAAAAAAGAAAGATGAAAAGGAAAGGAAGGCAAAGGGAATGAAGGGATCTTTGATTTTTAGTGTTTGCTGATTCCCATGGTGTAAATACCCCCACCATGGCCAATAACAAGCTACCACAGTGAAATCACTGAACAGAACAGGGAGTTGGCGAGTATTGCATACAGCAGGTTCTCACAAGCAGGTGTGAACTAGCTTCAGTATACCACTGTCTGGTTGTCAACTCTCCCTTATATTCTGTAGAACTCTCCAGTAGCCTCCCAATAATCTCCCTTTTGGGTTTAGACAACTCAAGGAGAATGTTTGTTCTTTGCAACCAAAATATCTTTAACTGAAACACCTAGCTAGCATAACCATCCTTTATTCCTAACAGTTACAGTCAGTTCACTAAGAGTGTGTTCTAACTTTGGCTGACTTTTCACAGCCACATACCTTAAATATTTATAGTGATATTCACTTATATGCAAAATTTATATCTATTTCTACAAAAGTGCGGTCTTGGCCAAGTCCAGAAAAGAATGTTTTTAATTACTGCAGTTGCTTGGGGTAACAGTATTATCTTTGGAAATTCCTGCCCTCTAGTGTTCAGTATGGAGAACTACTTTTGTTTTAGCTGTTTATGTTACAGGAAGACTAAAAAAAGATGAGTTCAAAGCTTTGGACACCCATCGAGGACTATTCCCAGGGTATAGACATGTGGGTATTATGCATATTGGCTCCCCACATTTCTTTCTTAATGAAGTTCAAGGGAATTTTACACCAGGTTTCTCAAACTCATCATGAATGACATTTTGAGTCAGATAATTCTTTGGTGTGAGGCTGTCCTGTGCGTTGCAGGATGTTTAGCAGCATCCCTGGCCTCTACCCACTAGATGTGAGCAGCAACCCCTGCACAAGTTATGACAAGCAACAATATCTTAAGACATTTCCAAATGCCCCTGGGGTCAGTGCAGGGGGTGGGGCGTGGGCATACAGTGCTGGTGGTTGTGCACATCATCCTGGTTGAGAACCACTGTTCTACTCTGATGGAGCAAATCTGTCCCATGCACCCTTGACCTTACGTAGCACCAAACCCAGTAGGTTATGGTACCAGCTTAGAGCCTGAAGCTCAGACCGCAACTCTTGAGTTCCCATACTGTGCACTGTAGGAGCAGTAATTCCAGGTGCCAAATAGAAAAGCACCTGCTTTGTAATAGGATACAGAGTTCATAAACAAAATTTAAAATTTTTTAATTAAAAAAAGCACTTCTTATGAGGCATGATGGGAGTGGATGTGATGATTCATTCATTCATTCGTCTGGTGGATATTCACTAAGCAGCGCCTCTGAGACTGGTGACGTAACAGGTGCTGGAGCTGATGCAAAGGCAGACGATGATCCTACCTTTAAGGAACTAACAATTCTAGAAGGGTTCCGCGGGAATATATTCAGTTATAAGAGAAACCCCCATTTTAAGTGGCTTTAACGATAATGGGACTTCGTTGGCTCATACATTCGAAAAGCCCACCGGCAATGCAGTCTTTAGGTAAGGCTGGAGCCAGTGGCTCAGGGTTGTCATCAAGGGCTGCAGTTCCTTCAGTGTCCCTGTTCCTCATGTCCTATTGTCAGTTTCATCCTAAGGCTGACCTCCCTTGTGGTCCCCAGAGGTGTTAGCAGTATCTAATGTTATATGCTTCCTCATTTGCAGTAAAAGACCTGAGATTCATTTTGGTTGGACTAGTTTAGGTCACCTGCCTACCCCAGAATCAGTCATTTCCACCAGGGGGAGGGAAAGAGCTGACTGGTCTAGTCTAGGTCACTTGCTCTAACCATGGCACCAGCTTTCATAGAAATCACATAAACTCCATAAAGGAGACCTGGCATTGCTGGGAAGGGAGAAAGAGAGCCACTGATGCCAGGGAAAGGTCCAGCCCTTAACCAGCCAAAGCCCTCTCATGGTCTTTGCTGCTCTCCTCACGGGCTCTGCTATGAGATTTCATCCAGGGCATTGGCACCATTTGTGTGGGCCTCCGTGAGAGTCTTATCACAGTCCTCTGTGCTTTGCCTCTGCTCCTCCTCCCTCTGAAACCTCATTCCGTCTCCACTCCTCACAGCCATCCCCTTCTCTTCTCTCAAAGCTCCATTCCGAGGCAGCCCCTCTGAGGCTATTTCCACCTCCTCGGACAGCCTTCCCTCCTCTGCACTCCCTTGGCCCTTGAACTTCCCTGGACCTTGTATCACTCAGGTTTCACTTGGCTGCTCCTCCAGCGTGGCTCTAGGATGAGTTTAGACCTACCTTCTGCCTCTGAAGAGTTTCTGGTCTAGTAAGTTCTTGCTCTTTAATGCCTAATTGAGAGCTCTTGGTGGTGATTCCTTGCTGTCCTCAGATTTCAGACAAGATGGTTAAAGTGTGTGTGTGTGTGTGTGTGTGTGTGTGCATGCGTGCACGTGCACATATGTGAAAGGGCAAGTAAGGGAAGCAGACTGGAGCTGTGGGAAGAGCAACGGATTTAAAGTCAGACTGTCCTGGGTTGAATCCTACCTCTGCACCCTTACAGAGCTGAGGCTTTGACCACTGGATCCCCACTTAACACTGCTTTCTCTCCTTAAAAATGTATATATTGTATGTTATGCGTTCATGCTTCCTATGACGTTTCATACGTGTTTGTATGCTACCATGCCTGTGTTATTCATTCACGTAAGGTACATTTAATGAACAGTGATTTAATAAATACTTGTAACTATAAGTATTGCCATAGTTCCCTTATCAGTAAACCACATGGTGGCTTTGGCTGGGAGAGATACAAAAAAAAATGAGTTATTCCAAGAAGGACAAGAGCAGTCAGGCCCTTCTGGCCTTTAAGAAACTTCTTGCCTTTCAGCTGCATGGGACCCCCAGATTAGAGGTGAAGTGGAAGGAGGAGGTGTGGCTGTGCCTTCCACGCCACCCCCGCCCAGCCATGCCCTCCGAGGTACTGCCTTGAAATAACAGCGTCCGTGTGCCCACGGGGCTTACAGCAGCTCCACAGGCACGATATCAAGTTGAGAATGATCACAGAGTCTTTTATTTATTTACTTATTTTTACACGATCCATTTTAACTAATTTAATGCACTTGGGCAGTTTTTGTGCATAAAAAAGTGGGAAGCGGTACAGGTCTAGGAACATATCTTGTTTTTCTTTTAAAATATTAATTCTTATGGCAAAAATTCCTCTTTACTAGATTCTTCTATAAAGCGACATTTTCCTCGATAGGAAACATGGCCCTCCATATGTGTGGTGTCAACACTTCTCTTATTGGCTTCTCAGCTCAGCTGCCTCCCAGCTGGGTGGCTTAACCTTTCGGAACCTTACTCTGCTCATCTACAAAATGGGAATAATTCTCTACTATGAGGGAACCATGCCTTGTTGGGTACCCCATGCACCACACTACATCATCTTGCTCCCCTTCAATCTTTATTACAAATACAGCCACCAGCCTTGCTGGAAATCCATCCAGAAAGTCCCTCCCAGGCCTCCTTTGGCCAGATGTACTCCCCAGGAGTCAGGACTAGTAACCAGATAATGGTTTGGTATTGATTTCCCCCTCTAACCTCGCGCCCCGCCCTGACCTTTGGGGGCAAGGCTTACTCTAGTGGTTCTTCCACTGGCAGTTAATTTCTTCAGTGCATCACTTTGGAAAGTTCTATATGAGCATTTGTTGTTACATAAGTTAGCAAATCTCAACCATGTTCTTTCTATCTTTAGAATAGTGGACACAGTTTTAAAAGGACATGAGGACTTTTCAGAGTCTAAGTATTTAAAATTCTGCAATCAACGGTTCTGAACATCTTCGGAAGAAAATGTACAATCTATGACCAGACCAGAATATACTGAGAAAATAATTTATTCCATTGTAAATCAGGAATTTTATTTTATTTGTTTAAAATATTGAACTATTAATGAGATCTTGCCTTTGTCCACTTGGAATTTAAATTTAAATGAATTTGTTTAAAAAAAAATCAAGATTCCCTCAAAAGGAAACATCAGTCCTTTGACCTCTGAGGACAGATCATTTCTTTGGTTTGGGACTGAAACCATGAACTTCCCCTACTCCAGAACGGATCCCAGAAAACTTGAGTGTAGAGAGGAGTCCGAACTAATCTGTGATCTCCTTTTTCTTTTACAAGGCCACTTCTCCAGGATTTTTGTTGGTTTTGTTTTGTTTTGCTGGGTTGTGAGAATTTTTGGCAGGAACGGAAGAGTAGGAGGCACAGTGAAATGGTAGAGAAAATGTAGGTTTCATTTTATCAAAGCAGCCCGTTGTGCTGAACATCAAGCCAGTGCAAGCCTCTTCAAGTAAATCCCTTGAAAATGGAAACAAATGACCTAAACTGCAACACAAGCAAAACATAAACAGAGCTGCACGTGTAAATATTGCCTCCTAACTTCCTTTACATTGAATTGCTTAACTTTAAATAATGTGTAGGATTTCCTAGCTTCTGTTAGAGAAAGGAGCTGAATGTGAAGCTGTTTAGTCATGAGGACTGGGTCTTCATTGCCATCCCCTCTACTCTTGATATAAAATCAGTTAACCATTTTATTTATTAAACGTGTCTGGTTGCTACACTTCAGTAGTGCAGAGAGGGCAGGGGGAAATGAGAGGTTCCCTGATGAGTGGGCTTTTCCTCCACTCCAGTCCTTGATGTCAGCCCTCCAGGTTGCGGCCTGATGGGCTGAGGGACCCTGAGGGTTAGAGCAAGTGGTGGCAGGACTTGCTGATGACTAACCGTCATGAAGCCCAGGTCTGGGAAATGTGACCCTTTGCAAGCCTCTTCAGTCCATGGTGGGCCTTTGTCTACTCTGGCACCATCCACTTCCTCTGGCCAAGGATTTGAAGACAAAAGTTCCAGAGTCTGGCAAACTGAATGCGACTTGGCCCAGACAAGAAGCATCTTCTAAGACAACGCTGCTCTCTGGTTGTCTTAGGGTTGAGGAGGCTGGAGACCACCCACGCTGCCTCCCATTCAGCGCCTGGATCCACGCTGTGTTTACATGCCAACCCCATGCCCTGCTGCCCCTCAGAGTAGCACTGCCCCACAGTGATCAAACTCTCTCTTTCCACTCTCTCTTCGCTATTTCATGGCCAGCTTACTTTGAGACTTTGTTTTCACTTCATGCTGAGCACCCACTGGCTCATTCAGATCCCCTGTGACCCCCAACATTCACCCCATGATTATCCGCTGGGACTCTTGACCAGTCTCTGCACAGAAGCCAAACAACGTCCTGATGAGAAAAGGCCATGGACTACAAACCGCCTGAAGCACTCTACTATTGAAACCATTTGAGGATTGCCAAGGTAGACTGTGTCCTTGAGTTCTCCTGCTGCAAAGCAGCTCTGTGTTGCTTTAGACTCAGCAAAGACAGGAGGACACTGGAATCAAGAGGACAGCCCCTCAGGATTGTATCTTGTTGCCAAACACTTCCCTTTGCACGCTTTTCTCCAGTATATCATCTGGCACTTGTAGAGTGTTTCTGGCTTTTTCTTTGCCTATGACAATTTTTCTTTTCTTTTCTTTTTTTTTGGTTCAGCTGATCACATATTCCCCAACCCAGAATAGATAAGAAATCACTGGGAATTTACATCTGATTACAATATGTTCATTCTCCCATATTATAAGGCTCAAAGTTGCAAGGAGGAATAATATGTACTTGCTGTGTTGGTATTTTGTTAGTACTTTTTTTTTAAGTTAAAATTAAGTGTTACTTTTCTGACAAAGTAGCCAGAATAATACTCTCTCAAATTCAGAAAACTACTGGCACAATTTAAAGTCAGACATTATTTCTAACCAGATTATACTCTTTTGCCTGCCAAGATACCTTGACAAGCTTAATATCTGAAGGCAGGCCTATATGATAATCCCAGCAATATTCTGGGGATAAGATTTTAGTGGGTTTGTTGAGAAGGAAATATTTGTTTAGATGGCTTTCATCATGCCACTGAGCTTCTATGTCATTTTTCTTGTCCTGGAGGATTCCCTTAAAGCACTCGCGGGTGATATTTAGGACCTGAGTGGGTGTTCCACCAAAAATGGCCGCATGGTAATAAAAATCCCCCTGGCCGAACGGAATGTATGCTGCAGACTCCTTCCGCCTCTCGTAGGTGAACTCATCAGGATCTGCCTTGTACCACCAGGCCTGTAGCTGAGCCACCGACTGGCCCAGGGTCTCCACCCCAAAGCTGTCTTGGAAGACCTGGTCCACGTCCATGCAGAAGAGGAAGTCCACCTCGTGCTGGATGTGGGCCACGATGTGCTCCCCGATGGTCTTCATGCGCATCATGCTGATGTCCTGCCACCTCTTCTCAGGCTTGATCTCAAACACTTTGAAGGAACGCAGAGGACCCAGCTCTATCAAGGGCATCCTGGAGACATCATCCACCAAGATGTAAAATATGACTTTGTGGCCAACCATGAAGTGCCTGTTGGCAGATGTTAAGAACTCTTCCAAGTAATGCTCAATGTATCTGAAACAAAGAATGGGGTAAATATAACCTCTGGGATTTCTACAGGAGATGATGTGTTGTTCTGACCGTCTTGTCTGTAATTTGCTCTTTAGGAAAGGAATCACTTTTCCCCAGATGAGTGTTTTCACACAGAGGGACATCTGCTGCTGTAACATTCCTGCCAGTCTCCACCATTCATTCACTCAGCTTTGGGGAGGCGGAGTGACTTACCTGAATGCTGATTCTGGAGGGGTGACCGGGCACGCACAGCCCGGCCCCCTCCTCTCCCACTCTTAGAAGCTGGCCAGGCAGGGAGAACACGTGTTCTCAACTGCTCTGGGCCTTGCAGTAAGCTTAGTGGTACAGGCCCTACTCCCACATCCAGAGGCCTGTAATTTCTAGTGCTGTTGGTGCCTGGATGCCTAAGTCTTTCTAATTCTGTGGTTCAGTATTAGAAGGCCCAGGGCCTGCAGAGATAAGCCACATTCTCCAAGAACAGCTTTAACTGTAATGAACTATTTTGAAGGTGATATTCACTACTGTCTGCCTTTGTCTTATTTATCAATTGGTTCAGACTTCAGGCAGGCAAAGTGGGTGCTAGTTCTATTTTTTTCCGGCTTTATTGAGATAAAATTGACATATATCATTGTGTAAATTTAAGATGTGCAAAGAGTTCATTTGGTACACATATATTACAAAATGATTACCACCACAGCATTAGTTAATACCTTCATCACGTCACATAATTACCATTTCTTTTTCTGTAGTGAGAAAATTTAAGATTTCTTCTCTGAACAACCTTCAAGTATGTGATACAATATGATTAACTATAATCATCATGCTGCACATTAGATCCCTAGAACTTATTCATCTTATGACTGGAAGTTTGTGCCTTTTAACTAACATTAGGGGGTGCTAGTTCTTAGGATTCTCTCAAAAACTCCAATCTATACCCCAATGAAAACCTGTTGTCCCACCAGATGCAAGGGTGACTTGACCCTTGGGTCCTTTGGGGAAGCATGAAGCCTAACCATCGCGACTCTTTTATCCTTTTCTGAGACCCAGAGACTGGGTTATGGGACATGGACATCCTTCCACATTACATACTCACTCTCTGAGTTTCCCACTGCTCACCCCAAACACCAATCTGTTATCCAGACACCATCATTATGAGACCCAGCCATATACCAGAGCAAACAACCTCTGATTTAATCTGATTTTAACTATCTCATTTCCTTCTTTAAAAATAGATTTTATTTTTTAGAACATTTTAGGCTCACAGCAAAATTGAGCTAAAAGCGCCGAGAGTTGCCACATACCCTGCTGCTCCCTCTCACAGCTTCCCCCACTGACAACCTCAAGCAGCACCAGGGTGGCACATGTGTTGCAATCAGTGAATCTACACTGACACATCACTATCACGCCAAGCTCAGTTTACATTAAGGTTCACTCTTGGTGGTGTACACTCTGTGGGTTTGGACAAATGTATAATGACATGTATCTATCCTTATGTATGTGTGGTACTATGCAGAGTACTTTCACTGCCTTGAAAGTCCTGTGTTCTGCCTGTTCATCCATTCCCCAGCTCCAGCCCCGGGCAACCACTGATTTTTCTACTCTCCTCATAGTTTTTCTTTCTCCAGAATGTCACATAGTTGGGATCATACAGTATGTAGTCTTTTCAGATTGGTTTCTTTTTCTTAGTAATATGCATTGAAGGTTCCTCTGTGTCTTTTCATGGCTTGATAGATCTTTTTTTTTTAAGTTCTGATAATATTCTACTGTCTGGATGTGCCACAGTTTATTGATCCATTCACCTACTAAAGGACATCTTGGTTACTTCCAAGTTTTGGCAGTTATGAATAAAGTTGCTATAAACATTCGTATGCCAGTTTTTGTGTGGACATAAATTTTCAGCTTTTTAGGATAAATACCAAGGCATGCAATTGCTGGACTGTATGGTAAGAGTATGTTTAGTTTTGTAGGAATCTGCCAAACTTGTCTTCCAAAGTGGTTTCTGCATTTTGCATCCCCACCAGCAGTGAATAAGAGTTCCTGTTGCTCCACATTTTCACCAGCAGTTGCTGTTGGCATTTTGGATTTGGGTCATTCTAAGATATGTAGTGGTATTTGAGCTAGATACCTTTTCATTCAAAAAACATCATGTTCATGTCTTCTGTAAGCCAAGCCACATGCTAGCTTGTGAAGTCACAGAGCTGATGGAGTAGGGGAAAGAGTGGTCAGCTAGCTTAACACAACTCTTGCCACCCCAGACTCATGCTCAGCGGACATGGACCGAATTTAATTTGCTGATCACACTAACAGCCAAATTACCACATTTTGTGAGTAATAATAACTGGCACTTTTTGCTTTTTGGTTGCTGCTTGGATCCCCTTTCAGTACCGCAAAAGTAAACTGTGCTTTTAATGTTGGTCTCTGGAAACCCAAGTGTTTACAGTACTGATTTTTTAAATAGAGAGAACATATCTGAGCAATATACAGAGGGACTTCGACATGGCTCTGGGGCTGGTAGCCAGGAAATTCTTTCATTCTCTGGAACTTTAAAAAAAATCCATTGTGTCCTAAAGCTTGGGATACAGTCCAGAGAGGGAGGGAGCCTTTGTGAGGTTTAACATTGTTTAGAGATTAAAACACTGCTGTTGGCTCTGTGCATTGTTATTTGAAAACAAACCAAATATCACACCTCCTAAAAGTCCAAATCCACTCTTGGGAGGATTTATTGCTGCTGAGTACAAACAGTCCTCTCCTGCCTTAGAGCAGAGAGCACGGGGTTTTCACCAGGGTACACCGTCTACAGTTTAGTTCTGCTAAGCTGCAACGAGATAGCTGAAGCCATAGTGGAGCGGTATGATACGTTCTGCTCTTTTCGGAAACACCACGATTAAATCGATCTGCAGTGTGCTGGTCTGTCCCCTCCTGTACCAAAGGATTAGGTGAGCTGAGCATCCTGTTCCCAACTCCTAACAGTACAGCTGCTTCTAGTAAAAATGTCAAAACTCCAGAGTCAGTCTTCTCTACCAGAGATGCCACGTAGGTCCCTGGGACGAGCACATTCAGTGACAATAAGGCTTGGGTAGTATGGTGACGGTGATGGCTTCTGGGCTCTGAGTTGGAGGTCTCGGGAGAACTCTCGGATCTTCACAGAACTCTCCTCTAGGCCCTGCAGTGGGCAGAGTTCAAGCTCAAATCCACCTGGGACTTCAAATCTCTTTGTACAAGCAAGGGGTCAACTTCCCATGTGGCTTTCGGAAAAGATACAGATGGAAAACCCATTGATGGGGAGGCGGGGCGAATAGGGAAAAAACATTGTCTGTTTTTTGTTTTTGTTTTTTTTTTTTTTGAATTTGTTTTGAAAGAAAAAACTCCTAAAGAGCAAAATGAGTTTTATTTTAAAACTAATATTACAGCTACTTCTTTTAAGTAAGAATGATTGCAGTTCGGGGAGAAATGTTCTAATCAAGGAAATGGAAGCTGACACAGGAACCTCTCTGACCTCTGGAAGAGGCTGTTCTTACCAGCCAAATGTCCTGGGGCCAAAACCTCCAGGTGGAATAGGGCAGAGGAACCCATGGAGGAGTGGTCATCTGTGCTGACGTGGAAAACCACTGCGCTTAAGTCACTTCTGTCCTTGGTCCTTGGTCCTGGGTCTTGAGAGCAAAGGAGAAACAATGGTGTACGTTTGGGCTAACAGCTGGCATTCCTGGAATTTCCAGAGAGCCATGGAGGCCAGGGAGGAGATGGATGTGGGTGTGCTGTAGACTCCAGAGTGGGTGTAGCAGACATTCTTACCTGCAACCCAAGCCCCTCACTTTGAGACTCCTGTTTTGTTCTCAGCTTTTTGGGGCCTCATCAGAAACGAGGCTGCAATGGTCCCATTACACCATTCTCCTGCCCAGGAATTCAAACAAGTCACAAACAGCTTCCATAAGCCCAGCGGGCCCCTCACTAACTCTCTAACAGCGGAACCAGAAAAAGTCAAGGTCAATTTTATTAGTGACACCTACCTTCCGACAGCAAATACTGTCAAACCCACGGTAATTTTCTGTTTGGCATAATAATTTTCTAAGATGGCTCTGTTGTAAGTGCCTTCCCACACCACTGGCGCCTTCCATCCGGTCATGGTCACAACCTCTGGGCGTTTCCTGGTGACAAAACAGAGAGTTCATGAGTCACTTTGAGAAGCTGGGGCAGAGACAGTCTGGGGAAAAATGGGTCAGCCATGACTTGTGGTGACTGTCCTTGAGTCCTGACTGTAGTTTAATCCCAAGCATTCAGCTGGAGATGTGACTTCTGCAGCATCTTCGGGGTGAAGGACCAGAGGACTGCCTTGCAGGGCCCTGTGGGGATCTGACCTGTACAGCTCACACCCTCTGTCTCCCTTTCCTGCTTTCCTTGTCCTCATCCTCATCCCTCTAAATCCTTTACCCTCCCTCCCCAGCCCCTTCCTAAGCTGCCAATGGCATCTCTGGGTGTTATTTATCCCTGCGGATGACATCTGACCCTGAGAAAGCCCTAATGCTTGACGCAGGGGGATGAGAGAGTGACATTAGACCTCAAAAAGGGAAAAGCTGTTTCAGTTTGTCTTTTGCCAGAAAGGGATTTCTGGGCAGGAACCTGGTTATAGGACAAAAAGGGCCCCAGACTTAAAGGAGTTCTGGTGTTATCATTCATTTTACAAACACAGAGACAGAGTCACCCAGAAAAGAAGGGACTCATCAGACCATGCTGCCTCTTTACTCGGAGCACAAAGGAGGGGAGATGTTCTCTGTACTCAGAAGACTTGAAAGGGATGTGGCAAAGCCAACACAAACACAGGAAGCAACGTCAGAACAACAGCAAACTGGCAGACTAGGCAGAGCAAATGCGTAAAGGCTGAGGAACAGTGGGGGCCCAGCCTGAAGCGGGAGGGGGTGGCGGGGACCAGGCTCTGACCCCGATTTGCTCTGGAAGTGGCTGCATTTCCCCCACTGGGAAGCAGAGACTGCAACCCAGTCATTTAGATTCAGCCTCCAGCACGAGGGCCCGGCCCCTGCCAGCCCTGTGCTTGCACTCCAGCCACTGTGGGGAGAAGACCGGAGATTGGGGCAAAGTCTTGGTGGCCCCATCGGGTCCCTGCTGGCTGTGTTCTCACCACGTGGCACTGTTGAGGAGATATTAGCAAGTAGAGCGGCCCATTAAAACCTTCCCCTACCCTCACACATGGATTTCCACAAAACTGCCCCTCCCACACTGGCAAAGCTGGGTTTTTCCAGCAAGGCTAGGTCACCCCACGTCGCCCCAGCCCTCAGGAAACTCTCCCTCATGCCTCCTGTCCCTCCTGCACCCAACTCTGCACTCCTGTTCTTGAGCTGACTCAGCCTCCCACCCCTGCCCTATGCCCCCGGCAGGCCTGCCTCCTTCTTCCCTGCACAGTGACTTGCCTCCAGAACTGGGAGGGACACCGCCTGGCTGCTCTCGTGGTGCCCCCCCATCTTGTCTAGAGTCTCAAACCCCACACACAGCTCTGCCCCTGCACCCCAGGTATGCCAGCTGCACGGGGGACAGTTGCTCTTATTTTCTTTCCATCATAAAAGAAGCTGTTTTGGACTCTGTACCAACCTGTGCCAGGCACTTTCTCATTTCATCCTTGCAACAGCCCTGCCACATATTATGTCCATTGTACAGATAAGACAGCAAGGCTCAGAAAGGCTTGTTAATTTGTCCAAGGCCGAACATCCGGCCACTGATGATGGTAACTAACACACACTGGCTACTTCCTGTGGGGCCAGGCACAGGGCCAAGGGCTTCGCCCTTCAGAGGTGGTCACTGTTTTGATTCCCATTTTATCACTGAGGTGACTGCAGCACAGAAAGGTTAAACAACTTGTCTGAGATCACACAGCTGGTAAGGGGCCAAGCTGGGCCAGATAGTCTGAGTCTGTAGTCAGTACTCTGAACCATTACCTTCTATTGCTTCTTGAACTGGATTTGTACTTGCCATGCTCATGAACTGGGATTAAAAATCCACGTTTGTCATCCTTTCCACTCAACTTAGCTACTTTGGCATTTTTATCAGTGCAGAGTGAGAAATGATGAGTTGTTTTTTTTTCAGGAAGCTTATGTGATGTTTTTAGTCATATAAAACCCCCAGCTTCCTTGAACGACAGGATTTCAGACCAAAAACCACACACACACACACCCCACACCCACACCCACACACACACACGGCTTAGAATTCTATAACCAACATTTTAGAACTAAACCCTCCCTGTATCGTCACCTCATTCACTGCAGTCCTTAGTGTATATAGCCTGTCAAAGATCTCTTAGACGTTCTGACCCAGCCCGTCAGCTAAGCTATACAGCTGTGTGTGAGCTGAACATTTGGCAAGCAGGTATTATTATTTTTAAGAAAAGGAAGAGAAAGAGGAGGAAGGGAAGGTATTCTTAATACTTCTGGACACAGGGGCAAGTACTTGACTTTCATTCTCTCATTGAAGCCTCACAACCTTCTAAAATGGGTGCTATCATCACTCCCATTTTACAAATAAAAAAGTGGGGGTAGGAGAGCAGAAGGGCACCATGTCTTTAGCCAGTTAATCGTTAGGAAGGGCTAGACCAGGGCACCCCTCGATGCACACTTGCTAAGTGCCTGCTCTGTACCAGGCCCAGTGCTGAGCATGGAGATCAGAGGAATGAGACCCATCCCAGCCTTTGAGAATCGCCTGCCACGCACTCCTCAGTGGCATGACCACTCAGTCTACACCTTCTAGAAAGACTGAGTCAGGAAACCATTGTCCAGTTTGGTTACTTGGCTGGGAAGATTCCTTCCAGCAGGAAAAAAAAAACCTAGCAATATTAAAAATTAATGTTTAATTAAAAATTAAAATGTTCTATTTCCCAGCTGTTAATTATTAAATTCCACTGGCCATTCCAACATGTCAGTGACCCTGACTAAGAAGCCAGATGACAGGCTGAGAACGCAGGCAGTAGGGGAGGAAGAAGGGGTGGGAGGATCAGCTTCCTGGATGCACCTCTGCTCAAAATCCACCCCCATTCCACCCCCAACCCCTCAACAACAACAAAAAAGAAGAGACAGCCGGCAGATGAGCTAGCATTTGCCAGTGTCAACTGCCAAGGTCACCAAGCTGGGGTTCTAAAAGGAGGAAGAAGTACCAGGAAAGACTGAAAACAGCCCATATGCCTTCTTACCAAGCAGGGCACCCACTGTGTTCAGCTTGTGGGGTCCCACTAGTCCAGGCCAAAGGCTTCCCACAAAATAAAATTGCCTCCATAACCCAAATACACACCTACCTAGGTAATTGGTAGCTTTTAAATTTTATGTACTTAATTTATGAGTACATTGTGGTCCCCAAGAGTTGCGTAGAGGAAATGTTAAAATTCTGTGAATCACACAGCAGGTCAGAAAAGATGTGGAATGCATACAGTGCATTATTTACTGGACTCCTCCCAGGTAGCAGTGCGTGGACAGTGATCCACCAAAAAGCTGATGGCGACATGAACAAGTGTGGCTGTGAGATGGAGAGAAGAGATGATGTGGGAAGAATCTGGGAGGAAGAATTAACAGAATATGTAAATGAATTAGACTGTAGGGGTGAAGGAAAGGATGAAGGATGAATCAGAGCGGTCTCCTGGACTCAGGCTTGCTTGTGATGGGAAATTAGAAAAACAAGGGTGAGGTGGAATCAAGAACTCCATCTGGGTCACATGAGACATGCAGAGCTGTTAGGCAGGCAGTGAGACACAAGCAGGGGCTCAGAAAAACCTCTGGGCTGAAGCTACAAAGGCGGGAGTCATTCTCCCACAAATGGTATCTAACACCATGGAAATGGATGACAGTGCATTGGAAGATGATGTATGAAGAAAAGAGATGAGGATAATGGACTCAACCTCCAGAAACTACTATTTGATGGCTGAGGAGAGGCAGGGGCCCCTATCAAGGAGACTGAGAAGGGAGACAGGAGAAGTAGGAGGAAAATTAAGAGGATGCGGTGATCAGGTGATCAGACGTACAGAGACTAAGAGATCTTGATACAAAAATGTATACACAATATACTTAATTGTTTCTGATAGCTTATAGAAATGGATACATTTATATAAATATATTTGTAAATTTAGTTGCTCATCTTTCATTCATTAATGCAAGAAACATACTTTGGTGCCTTGAGAAGGCTTGGATTTGGTGCCACTTCAAATCAATATTCTTTAAATATCTGCTTGCCATTTGTTTGGAGGAGAATCGTACATGGAGGAGAGCGGAAAGAGTGACAGCTGATGGCTGTGATCTGTTTTCTTCTCTGACCTCAGTAATTCAGCGCTGGCCTTGCCCCCCAAGTCCCACTCAGCAAACCACAAGTACACAGTAAAAGCGGGCCCCCCTCCTTTGAAGGAAGTTTGGCAACCACCTCTAGCTCATCTAGCTGGTCCTTGGCTGGGGCGGGCAGGGGGGTCTCACTCCAACATGCACACACACATCTATCAAAGCTGCAGTGCTTCCATATTCTTACATTTCCAGGAATGGTTTAGCATCTCATAGATGGCTACCCTGTTGTCCAGTTCCTCGAATGACATACAAGGGGCCAAAATTCCCATCCTTTCACACAGTCGTGAATCCCAAATCCCAAAACAATAGGAGAACTTGCTAAAACATATTCAGTCTTCCGAGATCCCAAGACCCCTCGTGCTAGAATAGATGCTATTCTCCCCTGATCCTCCTCCTCCCTCTACGGCTGCGCCTGCTCCTTTTCAGACTTTTATTCCTCCACAGACCCTTTAAATGCTGATGTCAGACAGGATTCGGTTTTGTTTCTCTGCCTGGTGGCCTCATCCTGGCCTAGAGATCCCACTGCCACCCGCACCCTGATGGCTTCTCTTCCTGTGTCTACACCACGTATCTTCTGCCACAGGTATGGGCACAGTTATAGACTGACTACTGTGTTCCCCAAAATTCATGTGTTGAAACCCAGTCCCCAAAGTGATGATGTTAGGGGGTGGGACCTTTGGAAGGTGATTAGGTCATGAGGGTGGAGCTCTCATGAATGAGATTAGTGCCTTTAGAAAAGAGACCCCAGAGAGCTCCTTGCCCAAAGAGACCCCAGAGAGCTCCTTGCCCCTTCCACCACATGAGAACACAGAGAGAAGCTGGCATACAGAAACTAAGAGGTGGGTCCTCCTCAGACACCATATCTGCTGGTACCTTGATCTTGGACTTTGCAACTTCCAGAACTGTGAGGAATACATTTCTGTTGTTTATAAGCTATCCCATCTGTGGTGTTTTGTTATAGCAGCCTGAACAGACTCAGACAGGTACCCTGTGAGTCTCTGTCCAGATGCCCCACAAGTATCTAAGTCCACATACATCCCTAATTGAGCTCATTGCCTCCCGCTCTCCTAGACCTGCATCTCCTCCTCTAGTCCCTTTCCTGGCCAGTGGCACCGCCACCCATCATCTCTCAGACCTCATGGTCATCCTGGGCAGCTCCCATCTGCTTACTCTCCAAACCACACCCTTCTAAATCAAGTTGATCACACGTCCTTACTAATCTTGGTAAATGTTAGTTTCATGTCTAGCGTCCCTACAGGACCGTGAACTTCTTGCATATGACCATACTGACTGATTTCTCCTGTCTCCTGTGCCTAACACGATGTCTAGGACAGAATTTTTGATGTTGACTCATAGTGAGGAATACATTTTGCATCACAACAAAACACATACACGTCCATACATGCTGAAACAAAAATTCCGCTAAACAATACTTATCCTTACTTCATGTAATGCCCTCTGATTTTCCATTTGAGTTCAATTTTTTTTAAAAAAAATCTGTTTTTGACCCATTAGCTAGTTTCTGAACACATTAATGGATAGTGATGTGAAGGAAAAGCCCAGCTGGGCTAACAAGCTAAGTCACAAATCTTAAGTATGATAAGTGTCGGTTTACTGATATAAGTTCTGCCGGGCTAATTTGTAAATCTAAAGTTATTGTCAGTTTACTGGGCTAACAAGCTAACTCGTAAATCCAAGCTCAACAAGTGTCAGTAACGTGATCTGTTCCGAATTGATAAGCTTCAGTGTACTGATTCCTTGCTTTTTGTTGTTTGAGCCTTATTGGCTAATAGCCCATACTTGTAATTAACCCTATAAAACCTCATGTGCACGTCTTGGAGGTGCTCAGAGCTTCAGAGCTGAAGCCCCTCTGAGCCCGCCGGTGTAATAAATCTGAGTACTCCAACCCTCCGAGTGGTGCTTGTTTCTTGGCTGGCCTGTCATTTCCATAACAGTGACACCAGCTAGCATATGAGAGGTGTTTGATAAACATTTGTTGTACGCTTGCTTAGTGAACACACGCATGGCCCTGTGAGATTTTGTATCATCACTGCCACTTTACAGATGAGTTAACTGAATCTCAGAATTTTCTTGCTCTGACTTCAGAGCCTGTGGCTTTCCACAACAACCTGTGGCCCGTAAGACCCCTCCCAACCCCAGGATTTTGTGATCTGCTGCTGCTGGCTAATTGCCATCAGAATCACTGCAGTTGTTACTCAAGCATTTGAGTCAAAACGTCCAGATGCAGTTTCTCATCTGATCTGTGTTAAAGGTCCCATAGGTGCTAAGGCTCCTCCGCCTCCCCCATCAGGAATGTCCTCCACGGCACCGTTGCCCACACAGCCCCCACCACCTCCTGCTAAGCTGTGGGTTTCCTGGACTCAGGCGACGCTTCTTTTCTTACTGTGGATCAAACCAGTCCGAAAGCTGAAGCTTTTCTTCCTCGTCTTCCTGTCTTTGTTCCTTCTCTTTGTCTATGTCTTCTTCATGGTAACTGTGGGTAATGAACAAAGGGAAAACAAGTTGAGGAAGGCAGGGAGGGTGACCTGTGGTGTTGGGATGGTGGGTGAGGATCTTGTCAAAATGGGTTCTAAGGCAGAGAACATGTGCATCAAGTGAGTAGAGGAAGGGTTGTGGTACTAAATGTTCACTCATAAAGATGTACTGTGGATGAAAAGGTGCGGGACTCACCTTTCTTGTTATCCTTCCAGGTCAGCACAGTTAGCAACTTTATGACCCAACAACCCTCTGGTTATTTCAGGGGGAGGGAAACTTGATAAAACAGTCCTCACGGGAGCATTTCAGCTTCAGCCTGGGCCTCACTCACCACCCCGCCACACCCCGCCTCCCCAGCTGAGTTAAATGGGGAAAAAACAAAAACATGAAAACCAAACTTCATGTCCAGCTCCCAACCACAACATGGATTCCCTGTGTGATTCCAATAAGCCAGAAAGACAAGTGACTGAGAAGGTTACGGCCACGAAACCATTTGATTTGGACTCTGTAGTGCTAGGTGGAGACACAGATGGTCATCCCACTGCCTTACCCATGGCTAAACCAGATCGGAAACCACCAGCCTTTCTGACTGCTGCTGTCACCAACTTCTGGGTTTCTAAGAAATGAGAAAGATGACAAACATTTTTAGAAAATGAGGCAGTCAAACTGGGGCAGGGGGGTGGGGAGGGGAGGATTTGAAACTCTTTTTATGGCAGATTATTAAGAAAAAATTGTTTTAATTGCTAATTTGTAAAATGAAAGTACAGCTGTTCTAGCCAAATAAGAAGATAGACCTGACACCCCCTGGATCTCCCCTCCCTTTGGTGGCTTCCCACACTCAGCTTGTCCACGCGCCCTAGCAGGGAGAGAAGGAGAGAAAAAGAATGGCAGGGTTGGGGCATTAATACCTAAATCTGAGTCCTGAATCTGCCTCTTACTAGTTGTATGACTGCAATGGGACATTTTCCCTCTCTGAGTCTCAGTTTTCTCTACTTTCAGGAAGTGCTTGAGATGGTTTATGATAAGCAAGTTGTGCGTACAATAAACGGTGGAACAATACAATAGTAAAAGGAAACAGAGAAACATTTTAGCCATTCAGGTAGGTGTTTTCGCATGACCTTGATCATCTCAGCCACTCTGTAAGAATCAAAGTTCTAACTTTATTTGTATTTTATAGCTAAGATGTTAGCTGAGTGGGTTTGGGCAAATTGCCGAGATCCTGTGGTATGTAAGCACAAAACAGCAGGGGGTAAATGGTATCAGAAGTGAAGGCTGAGGAAAGTACAAGCCTTTAAGTACAACACTCTGCTCTGAGCGTCCTGACAACCAAGCCAGGTTGAAACCAGAGAGAAAACTGAAGGCTTACAGACTCCTCACTGACAACAACAATAATAATATATACACTAGTTCATCAGGAGACCCAAACATTTTTCTTGATCCTTTGCAGACGTCTTTATGTAACATGTATTGGGCAGCCTAATGGACAATGTCTACTCTGATTCTTTTTATGAGCAAGGCAGGAATGTTCTCCAGTGACACCACTTAAAGAGGCAGATGCTTGATGAGAAGCAAGAGCAAAACACGATTCATGCCCATGAGTCTGTAAAGGCAAATCTAGGGGGCTGGAGGAGTACAGTGCAGACCCCTGGGGCTCCATCCCTGCCCTCCACCTGTGACCAGAGTGCCATCACCACCTGCCATATTTAGAATGGACGGTAGTGGGTAGCAGAATGGACAAGGGAGGCCTCCTATTGATATCTAGAATTCAAAGCACTTACTTTGAGTGGTATATCCAGAATAAAGAGCCTTCTGGGCTAAAAGCAAATGAGAAATAAAAACATATCATGTTACTTTTAATTCGGAGAAAAGCTATTTTGCAATTATTATCATTGAAGCCCTACGCTGAGTTGAGAGCTTGGGTTTTGGCCACTTCTAGGTTTCTACCTTCCTTTGAGATGGAACTAATGATATCAAGGGACTGCAGTCACTTCAGGATTACTCAGAACAAGGGGTGGGAAAGAGGTCTCTGGAGAATCTTAAATCTTAGTTCAAAAAAAAAAGATGGCAGCTCTGCATTGTCTAGGGTGGCTTCGCTGACGGAGAGAGGCTCCACCTGGGTCCTCTCCTGCCACCTGCTCAGGAACACCATGGCCCAGCCATCCTTCACCCAGGATTTACCTTCCCCCAGAAAACCGACTGCAGAGCCAGCACCCCACCAGCTCAGAGCCTTCTAAAAAACAGCCTCAAAGGGCATTTGTTAAGCTAATGAAGACAATGAGACCATCTTAAGGCACCTACAAATGTGGACCAGTGAATATATGACTCCACTAGCAGATCATCTCCATTCATTCAACAAATATTTGCTGAGCATGTGTTACAGAGACAGACACAGTCCCTATGTGTCCTGATAGCGTAGACGATCTAATGGGCAGGGTGGACCCTATTCAGATAATCACACAGCCATGGGACTTCAAACTCCAAGAAAAGCTATTAAAAAAACAAACAAACAAACTAACTAACTAACTAACTATCTAACAAAAAAACATAAGTAACTAGGAGCACTTAACATGAAGACCTGGAAGGCTTCCCAGAGGAAGCGGTAATGTTTTAGCTGAGTTCTGAAGGATAAATAGGAATCCAGGTGAAGAGGAAGTGGGAATAGTGTTCCTTACAGAGAGAAAAATAAACAAAGGCCCTGCGAAAGGAAGGAAGCATTTAAATGTGCAAGGAAACAAACACAGAAGTAGCCAGAGGGCCCCTGCTGGGACCTGCTGGGGATTTTGCCCTTGAAGAGTTTTAAGCAGGAGAGGGATAGGGTCCTATCTGGAGCGGATGTAAGAGTAGATGCCGGTGGCCAGTCAGAGGGTGATGGCAGTGGTCTGGGCATAGACCAAGGCAGCTGAGGACACGGAAGAAGAGGAGTGCACTGACATGAGAGACATTTGGGGGTGGGGTAAAGGGACAGGACTTGCTATACTGGCTTACTCCATTGTTCTGTGCCCAACAGCTAAGCCTTAATTGCTCACTCCCCTCCCTGTAAATAAAAGGGCTAGAGCCGGGTAGAAAGAGTCCTGGACGTGGGCACAGGCACCTGCCCTGGCTCAGCGCCTGTCTGGCCCCAGCTGCCCTCATCTCTGAAAAAGATAAATGACTAACATTTGTTTCAGACCCTGTCAAAGCTGTTTAACTCCTCCCTCTGCCTCTGCCTCTGCCCCTGCTGGGAGTCCACATCTCCTGGCAGGAATGAAATGCATGCCCTCTAACCACCTATGGTTTCCCCTCTGAGCTCAATACTCATGGACTAAGCGCTGAAGTCCCTTGTTTCTAAATCTGTTTATTGATCTGACAATATTCATAATAGCTAATACTTGGCCAGGGACTGTTCTAAGCAACTGACATGTATTAGCTCCTTAAATTCTCACAACAGTCAGTGAAGGAGGTTCTGTTCTTCCTCAGAGGCACAGAGGCATTAAGTGATTTTGCCCAAGGTCATACTGCTAGGATGAGAAGAAACAGTACGTGAACCTGGGGAATCCGACTCCAGATCCTACAAGAGGGGCAAGAGAAAAGGGAGAGAGAAGGGGGAGGGTCAGCTGCAACACAGCACTCAGACCCCCAGCTGGCACTCAGGGCATCAGTTTGTAGATTCAGATTCGCCACCACATCCCATCTTTTTAATTATTCATCGTTCTTGCCCCTCATCGCCATCAAATTCCAGACCCCTTCAACATCTCAGGTCACAGCAATATCCACCCTGTCGTGTATGGCATTTAACATATTCTCACCCTTCACGCACAGCTCAAATACCACCTCTTCTGTGCCTTCCTTAGTACGATCCTAGCACAGTGCCTGGCACATAGTAGGTGCTCAATAAATATTTGTAAATGAATGCAAAAACATAGATCCCCCTCTAAACCAAACGTAATCATTTCCTCCTTGAACTCTCTTGGTTCCGTTTTTCTCCCTCCAATATCCTTCCTCCAGTTTGCATCCTTGGTTATTTTTGCATACATCTGCTTGCTCCATCTAGAGCATAACCCCTTGAGGGCAGGAATTCTTGGCTCCGACTATTGCTCACAGCTCTCGGCTTGAACAACAAGCTCAAGAGGGAGCCCTGGGCGACAAACCAGAAGACCTGAGTTCTAGTTAGAACTTGGATGTAGCAAATGGGGGTTATATAGCTCAGTGGTAGAGTGCGTGCTTGGACTGCATGAGGTCCTGGGTTCAATTCCCAGTTCCTCCATTAAGAGGAAAAAAAACCAAACCTGGACATAAATTCACTGTTAAGTCAGTTCAACTATTAGGTCTCTATTTTGTCACTTGAAAAGTGGAAATCCTCAAAGGAAGAGTAGTGCAAGTAAGAGAATGAGCTGCAGTCAGACAGCCCTGGACCTAAATTTTCCTGAAACTGTGACCTTAAACATTAACATTTAACATTGTGGAGACTCAGTGTTCCTCATCTAGAAACATGGACTAGTTCTTATCTTGCAGCACTACTGTAAGAACTGGAGGGACAGAAGAGTGCGTTTCCTGACACGTGCACACACTCAGTAACTAGTAGCTGGTATCATCATCATCACCATCACCATCACCATCACCATCATTACTTTTAAAGTTTCTTCCATCTCTAAAATTCTAAGTTTTTTTTCATCCAGCTTCAAATCAAATGCTGCCCTGGATGACTTTCTTGCAGGATGCTCTCCTGACAGGAGTGGTATTAACTAATCAGTTGATGTGTTTGATTTAGTTATCTTATGATCCTTTTTTAGCTACAGTGCAGCCCACCTGTCTAAGGTTAATGCCCTCAGCTCACCTCAGACCATCCCGTGGCCAGTTCACATGGTGGCAAAGAATCTGCTGCCTTTTAAACCTCTCGCAGACATTCAAGCAGATTCCTCACATTGAAGAATGATGTGGCTGCAGTCTGGCTGCCAGACTAGGGCCCTGAAGAACAGCCAGAACCTACTCCAATTACCGCATAGAGAGAGTGTGCCCAGCACTGCAAAATAACCCTCTTTAGGCGAGGCCAGTGCCAATACACACATTTGGGCCTTTGGCTCCCATATTTTAATTTTGTGAAGTACCCAAAATATGGAAGTATGACTCTGGCTGCAGGTCAAAACACCAAGGTGATCTAATCAAGCGTTCAGAACTTAAAGGTTACCTACACAAGCATCTCAACTGAGGGCAGGAACCCCAAAGGATGCTTGTTCTTCTGTTGGGTTCTTCCAACTGCTAGAGCTCCTCCTCCTATTTGCCAAAATCCCCTGTCCTAGTCCGCCTTCTGGGCAGATGATGAGGAGGGTGGGGATGACGGTGGTGGGGGTGGTGATGGTGATGATGGTGGTGACGATGGCTAGCATTTACTGAGCGCATTGCCCTAAGTGCTTTATGTACAATAACTTATTTAATTCAACATGTTAAACATCTATGAAGCAGGTAGTACTATTATCCCCACTTTTAAAGATGGAGGAGGGAAATAGCTCAGTGGTAGAGCGCATGCTTAGCATTCACAAGAGGTCCTGGGTTCAATCCCCAGTACCTCCTTTTAAAATTTTTTTAAACGATTAAAAAAAATATATCAGGAAACTGAGGAAGAGTGGCTGAGTAACTTGCCCAAAGTCACAGGGGAGGTAAGTGGTGGCCCAGGGCCCGACCCCGGCACCTTAGCTCCAGACTCCAACGAGGATATTTCCTCAGCCCCCAGGTACCCAAGGGAACCCCAGGGCCCCTGCATCCAACTCTAAGTCATCTTTTCTTCGGACCAATTACCTCCTGTTTCTTCTGTTTGAAAGACCTGGTTTGTGACCACTTTACCTTGGTCACTCTCTAGCTTGTCTTGCTCATCTTGAGTTGTTCAGAATGAAACAGAATAACATTCCGGAAGTGGTTAGATCTATTCAGCACCCTGGGGAATAACAGCTCGTATTCTGGAGGATTTTCCTACTGAGGTACCTGAAGGTGCAATTCTTGGTCCTGCTGACTCATCAAACCTTTAGAATTTAAGAATTGAAAGGGACATCCTGATATTAATCTAGGCCACCATCTTGAACTCGGGGGGCTACTAAAACACTTCATCATAAAAATATCAGTGGTGACGAGACAGCTGTCCCAGCCCAGAGTTGTACGGTGGCCTTTTTGAAGAAAGGCTGAGCTGTACCAATGCCTCTTACAGTCACAGGCATCGTGCATTTGTGTAGCTGCTGGTGTCAGAAGCCTCTCCAGCTGGAATCCCCAAGGCACTGAAGTTTCCAAAAACACAGAAGCAGCTCAAATATTTGGGGTGAATCCACTGATGAATTTGAAAACTCAGAAATGTTTAACTCATTTTGCTCTCCAGAATTAAAAAAAAAGGCAAAACACCCAAAATTTTAGCCAGGCACAAATGAATCACCAGCGACTCAGAGTGTATTTTGCAGCAAAAGTCAACAACTTGAGTTGTTCCTTTGAACTCTGCAGATATTTTAGGATTGAAAAATTAGGGTGGATTTCTCATGAAATTCCTGCCTGAAGTTTCTTAAGGTAATTTCCATATCTGGTCATTTAAATAATTTAATATGACATTTTGGTCTTAATATGACCTTACTGTTTTCAGCTCTAGCCAACCCAGAACCACAAAAGTATAAAAATCAAGACATTCGGAACATGGCAGGAAGGAAGATAATAAGCTGGGAGGTGCTTGACGGATGTAGTGATTTTAAAGGCAGTCGGGCTCAGGGGATGCAGGAAGGGTACACTCCCTTCTTAATGGTGTCAGTTAATTCTAATTTTAATTCAACCTGGTGACTTGGCTGATACTAGGAGATTAGAGGAGATTTTGATTAACATTGTTTCATCATGTTTGGTAATTACCTGTTGATATATTCCCAAAACACAACAATTACAGTTGAGACAGCCAGCATTGACAGAATCACTTTTCCTTTGACATTCATTATTTTTTCCTAGGGGAGGGAAAAAAAGAAGAGGGGAAAAAATAGATTAAATAAATCCAGAGTGAGATATGGTTTTTAAGAAATGCTTCTACCCATATCCTTCCTAAAAGGGAAAGCCGATGAATATTTAACAAGGGCTAAGAAGTGTGTTCTACCTTAAATTGCATAAGCCTGCAATGGCAAATTAGCCGATTCAATTGAATTGACAGGGCTGCCTGTGTTGGGGAGGATGCTAAGGCCACTTTGAGGCTCAGAGGGAAAGTATCCTGACTTTCCTGCCAAGGGCTGCCATGGGTGTGGGAGAGTGAGGGTCTAGCTAATGGTTCCCAGGGGCTCCAGCTGCCTCTGAATTCAGATTGCCCCAATTCTCAGCACATGACTTCAGGGAACCATCCATCCAGAGCTCTGCTGCTCTGGATATACCGACTGTACGCCCCATCCTCGGAGAAAACCACGCTGTAGGCTCAGCCACTTCCCAGCACCCCCCACCAGCTTTTCCCCACCACACCCACACCATTGACGCACAGTAGGTACATAAGTATTTCCTGGTTGCTGCATGAAATTGTGGTTGAAGAGGGGAGGGACACTGGGTGGGGGTGACAGGTTGGGAAGTACTTTAATTTGGGTGGCCGGGGAGGGCCTCACTAGGGAGGTGACTTTAAAGCTTCCGAAGGGATGAAGATAGGATGGAAAAGGGTGAAAAGTGCCATGAGAAGGGATGGGACTATTTTGGAAACAGCATCTATAACAGGCTGACAGGAGAAAAAGCTTCTTGTGTTTGAAGGGAGAAAAAAAGCAAAAAACCTGGACAAGAAAAAAAGTAGTGAAGCTCTCTCACCTGAGTGGGTGGAACAAGGGAGGGGTGATGGTGGGACGCAGGGGATGTCAGAGCCCAGAAAGGCATGGAAAGTGGGACGGGGACCCACAAAAGCATCTGAAACTGGAGAATCACCTGATCCAACTTCATTCAAAGAGACCCATCTGGGTGCTGGGGTGTGGAGAATGGATTAAAAAGACAAGGGCAGACTATTCTAAAGGCCAAAAAAGAGGGGAGATGACCTGGCTCAAAGGGTGGCTTCATTCAAAGTATACTTTGGAGAGAGAATCAACAGGGTTTGGCTGGTTAATTTCATCATCAGGGCTGAGAGAGGGAAGGAGCAAGTTTTCTGCTTAAGCAGGTGGGTTGGAGGAGAATCATCATGAATTCCCTTTTGGATGTGTGAATTTCCAGGAGTGGGTGAACACCTAAATTGAGATGGGTAGGCAGGTGGACATTGAGTCAAAGTTCATCGGAGAGATGTGGGCGAGCCATGCAATTGGAGGAATTGTCCAGGGACCAAGGATGGTATTTAACATGAAGGGAATAGATTCGATTATGAAGGAGAGAATGGGGAGAGAACAAAAGGAAGGAAGAGGGCTCTGGGCTGAAGACTGAAGATGTGGACATTTAGGGGTAGGATAGAGGATGGGGTGAGAAGGAGAGGAACAGGAGGTAGAAGAAAACCTAAGAGTGGACACCTGGGAGGCAACGTCACGGCCTTTGTGAAGCCACTTCCCACCCTGACCCTAACCACCAGCAAAGCCCCCTTTCTCTTATCCAGCTCTTCCATCATGTTGCTCCCCCAGCACCTCCTGTATTCATGTTACTGTACACATTGCCTTGGGCGGGGCTCACATGGTAACATCCGCATTTGGCTCTGTCTGCTCTACCCATTTGTTCGAGCTTCCTGAGGGCAGGAGGGCTGTTTTCTTATTCAATCCTGAATCCCCAGTGCCCCGCAGAGAGCAGAGAAGGCCATCAATAAATATCTGGTAAGTGAATGAAATAAAATGAGAATGGCATTGAGATGTGTCCTTTCAGGGGACAGGTTATTTTCCAGTTCTTTTCAGAGAGGGTTGTGAGATGATTCCAGGCTTGGATCCCATGGGCTACATCACCTTTATTATTAAATTCAGTTAAAGAAGAGAAAGTAATGGGATTATCAGCCATGACACTCGATTCTTTCTTGCTTAGAAAGGGAGTCCAATTGGAAACAGAAAAGCCATGACTCAACCTCCAGCTTTCAGATACAACTGTGATCGGTGTGGCCTTCTGGAGACCGTGAGAAGATGGGCCCGCTGGGCCACAGGGAAACCTCGGTCTGGAGCTCCTTCCCTGTGAGTACCTCGTGAGCTGGCCCCTACAGCCAGGGCCCTCGCAAAGCGATGAAGTGCAGAAGGCTGCATGCAGATCAGCCCCTCTGCTGGAAAAAGCCACTTGATGGCTACACTGAGTGCTACGAAAGTCCTGGGTTTGGGAGCAAACAGATCTGGATGCAGGCTGTGGCCACCTCTGCTGCTGTCTGCACTCCCAGAGAGGTGTGGATGGCGATAAACCACATGAGCTTCGGAATGAGGCGGGGACTTGAGACACACACGAAACTGGGTAACCCTGAACCCGGAGGCGTCTCTCAGACACTCATCCAACTCCAACAAGCTCTGAAAACCGAAAGCCTGTTTGTACTTCAGTTGGCATCCAGGTTCTGACTGACGTGAGGCTGTTTATCATCCCCAACCCACTTAGGGAGACTGTTTAAACGTTTCTTTGCATAAATATTGATGTGTTTTGTTACGTGCTGCTGCTGCACTGGGGGCATTACATAATATATGATAAATAATCCACATTCAAAAAATTCTGAATTCCAATATCTGGCCCTAGGGATTCAGAAAAAGGATGGTGGACCTGTAATTGATCACATTCAATTAGTTCCCTCGTCTTTAAAATGGGGGTAAAAATGGTAATGTTTGCAAGAGATGGTGTCCATAAAATATTTAGCATTGTGCCTGGCACCATATAAATGATCCAAGAAAGAATGCTAGTTCTTATTACTGATACCTATAAAACAGGCTGTTGGGAGGATCCAATGAAGATAGCACAGTGCCTGGTACTTAGCAAGAGCTCAAAACATATTTGAGGGAACGGGATAAGGGTATTGAAATAAGAACATGCTAAACAGTGAAGCACAAACTGATGCAAATTAAGGATGCTAAAGGTTTATCCGTATGTTCTGTGTGGCAGCCTGATTAAGAGCGCCTCGGAAATGCCATGTGACTTTGATTTTCTTTGATCAAGTCCAGGCCATCCGAAGCTTTATCATCCCCACTTGTTGAGAATCAAAGACAGATTTTCTCTCGGTGTAAGAAATGTTAAACTGAGAAACACACAAACTCCCGTGGAGAACGCTGATGTTTAAATCAGGGAGAGCCTGAGGTAAGATCAGACACACTTCCTAATCCTCTTGCCAAATGCAGGTGTCTGATTTTTTAATTTCAGAAATTAGCATCAGAGGCAACTCTTGAAGCCCATTTCTTTCTGGACTTCACAGTGACTGAGTCTGCTTGCTTTATGCTGAGGTCAGGCATCACTCTTTTTGGAGACTTATAGTTGGAAGCTGCCCAAATCAGCCAATATTGTGTCTTTTAGCAAAATGCTGGAAATGGGTGTCTATAAGCTTCCTGGAATCTGGAACCCAAGTCTCCAGGGAAGAAAGGGTTGGCAGGGTGTCCAACCGTTCTTTTAAAACATTTTTATTTTTCTCTCTGGATAAAAATGAGGCATGTGGCAGCCAGCGTGGTCTAAAAGCCCTTCGCTTATGTGTCCGTCCCTCAGAATTTTCAAAACGGTGTAATTCTCAAGATTGATGGTTAGCTCTCTTACCCAAGTAGGAAAGTAGGGTTGCTTCTGAACTTCCCATTTAAGTGGTAGAGCACAGAAATAGGACGTGCAGAGTGCTAGCACCCTGGCTCGCGGGGGGAGAGTGTAACCACCTCCAGGTCACCTGGGCCTCACCCCTCAGGGGATCAGGTGCACCCAGCCAGGTCTGGTTCCAGGGGAGCCCTCCCAGCGTCTCCTCGGCCCTCTTGCTGAGGTGTTTGTGAGGTCTCTTTGAATCCATCCTACCACCCACAGGGGCTGCTCCTGGGCCCCTCCCAGAACTCAGCTCCTGCAATGATTTCCAAATGAAACCATTCACACCCCCAACTCCTGGAACACGTGCAGACTGTGCTAAAAACTCAGGTGCATTTCGCAAGGCAGGGTCACGTTGTCGAGCCTGCCATTTCTCCACACTCCTCTCCACCCACCCCCTCCTCCTTTTCCACTTCTATTTCCCTGGAGTGTAAGACAGACAATTTAATTCTTCCTTACACACCCCTGGCCTATCCCACACAGACTGATGCCCACACCCACGACCTCAGAGAAGCTCATCGTTTCACCCCAGCTGGGCTAAGTCAAGGTATTCCTTCCAAACACAATCCCTCTCTGAAAGGAATTCAAGTGGACCTTGTTTTCTCCATCTCATGTCACGGGGAAGGGTAAGTGTCTCAGCTAAATCAGAGCACTCAGAAGCCCTGGAAAAGCCATTATCTTGGGAGAGCAGGGGAAAAGCAGTGTCAGAGGAAACCAAACCTTCCCATAGGCTGAAGAGTCTTCCTCTCTGCCTGTGATACACCCCCGGCCCCTGAAACCCATCCCGTCCTCCCCAGGAAACTGCCCCTGCTAGGTGGAGCCTGAGTCACTTCTCCACCATTGCAGTGGGTCAAGACACACAAAAGGACACGGGTCAGGTGGTGATTAAGTGTTGCGAAAGGAACAAAGCAGGTAAGTGGTGGGGGAGGGAGCAGGAATGAACTGGGTATTAGTCACCTGGGGCAAAACTCCTATCTTTAGTCCTCCGTTTGCTCCACTGTACCGTTTAGATCCCGCACTCCAGGCAGCAATGAGGTCGGTGCTAAGGCTCTGAAACTTGCAGTCCTAGATGCACACCCTGGGCAAGTTCTCTGGCTCTGAGCCTCTACTTACAGAGACAAACTGGAGCATCAAATGCCCTCCTCTAGGGTTCTAGAAAGGACAAAAGGAGACCGTGTATACGAAGCACCTTGTGCCTGGTGGTCAGTAACACTCCACAAATGGCAGCCTTCATGGGGATGATGTTGTTAAGGGGGAGATTCAGAAACACGTGGCTCTGAGGTTAGAGCTGTGGCTTCATCTGAGAGGAGCCCTCCGCCCCAAGCTGTGAATGTAGTGTCAGTCAGCTCCCTGCCCCGCTGCCCCCAGCTCAGGGGCCCCGCTGCTCAGCATGTCTGCCCTCATCACCTGGCGCTCAGGTTGGACAGGGAAGGAGGGTGAGGCTCAACCATCACCCCAGCCCCCACACAGAGCGGCTCTGTAAACTGCGGTCATGGATTTCTCTGGCCTCAGTCTCCTCGTCCGTGAAACAAGCCCTCTGGACTTCACCTTCCACGACAGGCTTTCCTGATCAACCCAGGACCTGGGTGAGAAGTCGGCCACAGGGCTGGAAGTCTCATTTTACAAGGGTAAGTTCACTCAGTCACATGGAGCTCATCTTGCCACTACGGCACACATGGATTCCTTGATGTGAAGATCTAGCGATAGGACTGCCAACCAACATGTGCTGAGTCTGAGGCCAGTTCACCCAGAAGCTAATGACACCTCCTGCCAGGCCCCCTGACACTCAGGAAGGGGCTTGGTCTCCTGCTGGGGTGGGGCGTGAGTGAGGCCCAAATGCTTCCTCAAGGTGAAGCGAGGGGAAATCACTCCAGCCTGGGTGCCTGTCCTGGGGCTGCAGGTGGGGCCAAGGGACTGACCTGACTCCCTGCACCCCCACCTGGGTCCCAGTAACAACCTGCCCCAGGTGGACCTGGCAGAGCTCCCAGGAGCCTCCCACTTTGATCCCAATGGAAAGGAGCTGAGCTAGACGCTGCTCTGTGCCCTGCTCAGGGGTCACGGGGATCCCTGGTGTCCATACCTCCCACCCCATCCAGGATCAAAGAGCTGAGTTTTCTGGAGCTCTGGTCAGGGCCACCTGAGCAGGACTCTGCCAAAAGATTTATATCCCCGATAAGTTGGAAAGCCGAAAGAAACTTTTCTAAACTCGTAGTAATAAAGGGCAACCATTGCTTGACCATGGTAGAGGCAAAACCAGTTTGTCTTCCTTTTGTCTCTATTGAAAATGATATTACAAACTCATTACCAGATAAAGAGGCAGTCCAAGAGCATGCAACTGACATATGACAAGTGCGTCAGACAGCTAAGTAATACTAAGTATTTTTATATTATTTTCACATCATTTGATTATGCTGTTGTTCTCTGGATTTTGCCCTCTTTGGAGTATTTGTCAGTTTTTTTTGTTATTTGTTGCGATACCTCCTCATATTCTAAATGCAGTCAGCCTTCTGTAGCCATGGGGTTCCACACACACAGATTCAACCAACCACAGACTGAAGATTTTCGAAAACAAAATATTCTGGAAAGTTCTAAAACTTAAATTTGCCACACACAGGCGATTGTTGACATGGCACTTATATTGTATTTATGACTATTTACATAGCATTTATATTGCGTCAGGTATCATAAGTAATCTTGAGATGATTTAAAGTATATGGGAAGATGTGCTTAGGTTACATGCAAATACTTCACTGTTTTGTGTAAGGAACTTGAGCATCCTTGGATTTTGGTATCCGAGGGGGTCCTGGAACTAATACCCAATGGATACTGAGGGAAGATTGCATTCACTTCTATGCCTAATATTATATTTGCAACTTTGCATTCTTTTTCTTAAAGCGGGCCCTGAAAATTGAATAAGCTTCCGGCCCTGCAACCCTTGGACGCCCCCCAACTGAACCAGGCCAGGCCTGGACTAACCACTTTACCAGCAGCCTCTCAGGTAAGCCTCACAACAACCCTGTGAAGTCACTCTCGTATTATCCCCATTTACAGACATGAGAACGGAGGCTCAGAATGGTTAAGCGACTTTCCTAATGTTACACAGCAGGAAGTGATGGAGCTGGGATTCAGGTTCAGACAATGAGCCTCCAGTGTCCACCCTTTTAACTCTTCTGTTCTCAGTAAACAGAAGGCTTATCCATGTACTAATCACCCAGGTCTCTTTGGCATATCCTCTCATTTTGCCTTTCACGATTATCACTTAAAAACTGACCCGAAGCTAGCGAGTTACGGGCTAGCCTCACTGAGGGTTAGGCTCTCCTTGGACCAGCTGCTGAGCATGGACTCAACTCCTCTGCCATTTCCAGGTGCCTCCTGTGTGCCTGGCGTGAGCCTTCCTCACTCACTCCATCCTGTTCATTCTTCATCATGGTCAGGACAACGGCTTTTTAGCTGAAGAAACTAAGCTTCAGCAGAGGCTGAGATCACTTGGCTCCCCTACAAGGGAGGTGCTGAGTTTGAAAAGCAGACCCTCTGCCCCTAGCCCAGCCCAGCCCAGCCCAGCTCTCTGCACGGGGGTGGTGCTGGGGGTAAGGAGGGAGAGCGCTGCTTTATCCTAAAACCTCTCCAAATCAGTGCGCATGACAGGGAAATTCTCTCTGTTGGAAGAAACATGGTACAATTTGTGGGAAAAAAAAAAAAAAAGAAAGCGCAGGGAAGGCTGTTTCCAGTTGTGTTTTTCATTATGAGGGTCAGAGTAAACACAGACGGAGGAAACTAAGAGACAAGCCTCAGACTAAATACATGACTCGCTGACACTCCAGCCATCACAGACTGAACAACCTGTTCTCTGAGGGACATCTTGTAGTGCCCTTTCCTGTATCCCCTTCAGGAAATCTGAAGCCTGGATCCAGCCAGTTTTTCCTTCTGCTTGGCCCAGAAATCATTGTGCAAGAGTTTCCAAGAGACATAAGGCGAGGTAAATGAAGGGTCGGCACAGCCTGAGAGGGCGCTGCATCCACCCACAACGCGGCCCCGGGCCCGGGCCTCGCCCTCCGGCCCCTGCAGGGGCACCCTGAGTCCTTCGGAGGGAACTCCAGGCCACAGCCACACCCTGGGAGGTCCTGCTGAGGGAGCAAACTAAAGCCGAACTTACAGTGGCCGAACCAGCATCCCACGAGCCCCACTTCTAGGTCCAAGGATGCCGGGGAGAGGAGGACTGTGTCTTCTCCCAGATCTACCGAGGGGGCCAGCAAGGTGAGGAGGAGAGCAAGCTCCCTCTCCGGGTGAATCCACACCACAGCCGGCTCACTGTACCCCCAGTGACCCCAACAAGGCAGAGGTAAATCATTTCAACGTTTCACCTACCTCATCGTCTGCGTCTCTCCCCCCAGAGTAAAAGGCAAAACAACCAAGTTCTACTGAGCTCTGTTCCACAGAAGGAGGCAGGGCTGGGAGGAAGGGAAGGTGCGGCGTTCCAGCTCCTGTCAAAAGAATGAACAGCTGTTTCAGGAAGAGGGAGGAAGACGGATCCCGCAGCAGCCTGGGCTTTGTTCCTTGCTGGCCATGAGAGGTGGGCTGTTTATCAGGCCTGTGGACTCAGCTGCTTGCCAGGCAGGTGCGGGGGGCCACTCATGACCTGAGGACTGCCAAGCACAGAGGTTGGGCCTAAACTCCCACAGTGCAGGGCGTCAGGCTCTGAGGTTGATCTCTCAAGGACAATCTCTGTCCCGCCACCCCTTTGAGGAATGTGCCAGGTGCATTAAGGCCTGAAGGAACATCCTGAGCTATCAAGTCACTAAGGACGTTTGGAAGGAGAGAAACAATCAGCATGCAAGTTAGTGATCTTAGCCTGAAGAACAATCACCTGAGATAATAAATTGATCTTAGCCTGAAGAACAATCACCTGAGATAATAAATAGTACACGAGTCACGATGTTAGCTTAGAGGAACAATGCCTTAGTTTATCATCTTGGTTCTAGGAACTCTTAATCTTAGTTTTACGAGAACTATAAACAATAATGATGTCTGTTAATGATTTTAGTACACGTTGTTAATGTGCCTT